GAAGCCACAGGGCATAAATCTGCAAAGAAGTAAAAAGCTAACCTTTTCAAAGAATATTGCTTCTCTCTCACTTACCAACTTTACATTTCCCTGTATGGCCCCGGAAGATGACTGGTTAGCCAGAGACAGGTAAGATTCCTCAAGAGAGGAACAACCTAAGACAGGCACAGTTGCAGGGGGGCCATCAGGAGAGAAATTGGGGACCAACAGAGGAGAGGCTTAGAACCTCACCCCCCCCTGTTTTGAGAGAAATCTTCTGCATCCGTGGATGTTTTATTGCCCTTGTCTAGCTTGGATTAATACTTACTCTATAGGCACACACCTGATCATCTACATTTGCCCTCTTACAGCACTAAATTATGTTTTCTGCCTTTATCTTGCATCTACCTACCACTTCAGCATTTCATTTAAAAAAATAATAATCATAATAAGGGAGAAATGTCGGATTCACATATAAATCAAGTATAAAAATCAAACGAATAATCATATCTGACTTGATTGTTTATAGATCATGATGCGTGATCAAAACTGAAAGTTTCTGTGATATGAATGCCCTTGCACTGTTCACCATGTAAGAACTTATTCACTATGTAAGATGTTGTTCACCATGTAAGAACTTGTTTGTTATGCTTCAGAAGATTGGAGACTGTTGAGATATAGGCTTGGGGTTGATTAATGACTGTGCATTGAGTCCCTATACAGAATTTTATTGTTGTTAACAACCATTTGATCAATAAATATGAGAGATGACCTCTCAAAAAAGAAAAAAGAAAAAAGAAGAAAAAGATAAAGCCCTACCCAGACTTATCAGGAGAAAAAGAGAGTGTACAAATATAAACAGAATCAGAAATGAAGATGGAATAATCACAAAGAACACATTAGAAATAAAAAGAAGTATTAGAGAATACTATGAAAACTTATATGCCAATAAATTGGACAACTTAGAAGAAATGGACAACTTCCTAGAAAAATACAACGTTCCAAGACTGCCCCAGGAAGAAAGAGAAAATCTGAACAGACCAGTTACAAGCAAATAAATTGAAAAAACTACCTAAAACAAAACACCTGGATCAGATGGCTTCACAGCTGAATTTTATCAAACATTTAGAGAAGAACTTATGCCCATCCTTCTTAAAGTATTACAAAGAGTAGAAGAGGAAGGAATACTTCCAAACTCATTCTATTAAGCTATTATCACTCTAATACCGAAAGCAAAGACACCACAAAATAAAATTACAGACCAATATCCCTGATGAACATAGATGCAAAAATACTCAACAAAATATTAGCAAGCTGAATTCAAAAATACACCAAAAAGAGCATCCATCATGACCAAGAGGGATTTATTTCAGGGATGTGAGGATGGTACAATATTTGAAAATCCATCAACATCAGCCACCATATCAACAAAACAAGAACAAAAACCACATGATCGTCTCAATAGATGCTGTAAAAGCATTTGATGAAATTCAACATCCATTCATGATAAAGCTCTCAACAAAATGGGTATAGAAGGCAAGTACCTCAACCTAATAAAGGCCATATATGACTGACCCACAGCCAACACCATACATAACACTGAAAAGCTGAAAGATTTTCCTCTAAGACTGGGAACAAGCCAAGGATGCCAACTCTCCCCACTTTTATACAATATAGTACTGGAGGTCCTAGCCATGGCAATCAGACAACACAAAGAAATAAAAGGCATCGAGATTGGTAAGGAAGAAGTTAAACTGTCCCTGTTTGCAGATGACATGATATTGTACATAACAAACCCTAAAGAATTCACCCCAAAACTACTAGAACTAATAAGTGAATTCAGTAAAGTTGCAGGATACAAAATTTACAAATAGAAATCTGTTGCATTCCTATATACTAACAATGAATGAGCAGAAAGAAATCAGGAAAACAATTCCTTTTATACTTGCATCATAAAGAATTAAATACCTAGGAATAAACCTAACCAACAAGGTGAAAAACCTATGCCCTGAAAACCACAAGACACTCATGAGAGAAATTAAGGATGACACCAATAAATGGAAATACATAACACATTCCATTCTCTTGGGTAGGAAGAATTAATATTGTCAAAATGCCATCCTACCTAAAGCAATCTACAGATTCAATGCAATCCCTATCAAAATTCCAACAGCATTCTTCAATGAACTAGAACAAATAGTTCTAAAATTGGTATGGAACCACAAAAGACCCCAAATAATCAAAGGAATCCTGAAAAGGAAGAACGAAACTGGGGGGATTACTTTCTTTACAAATCTATTCCTAATTGTGTCACCATCATTTCTCCCCTGGATTACTGAAACTGACTCCTAACTGGTCTTCCTGCAGCCATTTTTGCCCACGTATGATCCAGCTGTCCACAAAGCAGTTACTGAGGGGAGGGGGACTGTTGAACCACTGATGTACATTAGATAAAATTTAAAATTTTTATCTAAGAAGAGGTCTTCTAAATAGTAAATAGGAATTAGAGGCAATTTCTTCTTTGTTGGGTGTATTTTCTCATTTATTTAAATAGGTCATACATGCACATGATGGAAAAACATTGAAAAATACAAAAGCAAAAAAGCCGACTTACTGAAAAATTAGTGTTCCTCCCATCCCAGTTTTCTAGACACCCAAAAGTAACCACTGTTACTAGCTTCTTGTATATTCTTGAGATATTATGGGCACATGCAAACAAATTTGTGTATGTATTTGTGTATATATTTCTTATATAAACTGCAATGTGTTCTATGCTCTGTTCTTTAATTTGTATTAAATAATAATATATGTTAGAAAAATAATCCCATATCTATACTTACAGAGTTGTCTCTTGGATCTAAGTTTCAATACTAGTCCACTAACCTAGTGTTAACATGTAAGATATTTTTGAAAATTTCTTGTACTTCTACAATTCTTTTCACTGGCTTTATTGGGTCAAGTTTCCCATCTCTCTAGTACCCCCAGCCTTTCTTGTTCCACTTTAGGCACAAATGGACATACCTTTTATTTGGATTAGCTAGTTCTTGAATTCTGGGAGATGGTTTGGAATGGAGAGCAGCATAAGATACTGGCCAACAAGTATCACGGGCAGGTAAATAATCCTGATGAATAGGTCTGGCCTTAGCCAGAGCTATTATTTGAGGGCTAGGTTTGGTTAGCAAGGCAGCATGGGATATCTACAGCAGAAACAAAAACACACAAAAATATATCCCATTAGATTACATGGATTCCAGTCCAGCTTTTCAGGAATTTACTGTTAAACTGAAGATAAGGAGGAAATGGCACTGTTACATACTAAGTGATAAACATGAATGCTGATTTGAAGAGTGATAACCTCAGCAGGAGGGAAGGCTCATTCAGCCCTGCCACCTGTAAACATGATAAGGGGAGAGCTCTTTTTGTTCTTAATTATATTTGTCCTTTGGAAACTGGACCCCATGATCACAAGTCCTCATATTTACAGTGAATTTCAGTGGCTCTCTTCTAACTGGAAGAGATAAGAAAAAGAAATCAAAGGTCAAAAGAGGAAAGGCAGAATCCATAACAATATTGTACAACGTCCCCAAGTCCCTCTTCACTATTTTAACTGTGGAAATGTGTTCACATTACATGGTCTTCTATTCAAATTACTTGTATTACATCTCAAAACTTAACACAAGACTTTGAGGGGGAATAGAATCAATAATTGGAGATAAAATAGGGTTTTAACTATTGGCGGAAAAATAATACACAAAGTATGCTCTAAATCCTCTCTTGTGTTTATAATGACAATAATTCTAACACTAAGTGTTTTACATGTATAAATTGATGTATTCTTCACTTGGGGTATCTTTTTTATTTCTCTTTCACTAATGAAGAAACCAAGATACTATGAAGTTCAGCAATTTATTTAAGTTTATATAGATAGTGACAGAGTTGGGATTCAAAACTAAGGTTCTATCTGTATAATACTATGAAGAACTAATTAAGCATTTCCAATGAATAAAGCTTTGTCTCCTATCAGGCTCTGGGAAAATCAAAGAAACATATGACAACCACTGCCTTCAATTAAGGCTTATAATCAAAAAGGAAATAAAACAATCACTCATTACATCAATTCATTAAACAAATATTTCTTAATTATACTATGTAAGACACAACAAAGTTAATAATAATAAAATGCTTCCTTTCCTTTAAGTAATTTTCAGCTTGGAAGAAACAATAGACCTATAGGTAAGTAATTAAGATTATTTAACACCCATAAAAGAGAATAAAGTATTGAGAGATATAGTAGGAAGAGTGGAAAAATCCAAGGATTCTTTTTTCAGGGATAAAGAGAAATTAGAATGGACCTTGAAGGAAGGATCAGATTTTGGCAAGCAGAGGGTGAAGGAAAGTTGAAGGGAAGAAGATAGAAGGGAGAATCTGCACATGGAGGCAAGAGAACACAGAACAGAGTGTCTCTGGCTACACAGGGAGATCAGACTTGTAAATGCACCTGAAACTAGATTAGAAGTGGGGAAGCAGCATCTTTCATAGTCAACAAAGAACCACCAAATCTTTTCAGTGGAGAGGAAGCATGATCAGAACTAGAGATAAACCTGTCAGACATGTATGAAAATGACTGAAGCAGGGAGGCAGGAAGCTGAGAAGACAATAAAACGTTATGGCCAAAAGAAGAGAAACACGGGTACACATACCTTACCCTCATTCTAAAATATGTTTTTGAAATACAATGATTTAAGCAAAATGATGCTTGTACAAGAATAGACCAATGTAAACAAATAGAGGAATTCTGAAATATAATCTAGTACTGTGGTTCACAATTTTTTGGTCCAGAGCTCCTTTACACTCTTAAAAGTAGGTGAGGGTTCCCAAAGACTGAGACATTTAAGAAAGTTTCTTATTTCATCTTTAAAAAAATAAACCCATTACATGTTAATATAAAGATTTTTATGACAAATAACTATATTTCACAAAACAAGAACAAAATTGTGACAAGACTGGTATGTTTTTTTTAAAGGTATCATTGATATACAATTGAGACAGGGTTCATGGGCTTAGACAGAATAGAGAGAGGGCCTCCAGGAAAAGCAACACAGGATATTTACAGTCAGAGCAATGTAACTACATGTGAGGAAACCCCCTACCAAAACTTTATGTTAAACATTAAGCTCTAGAATAATTCTTCAGTGAGATCAGTTGATACTCCCCAGATAAAGGAAAGTAGCCCATGTTTTTATTATGCTAATCATTTGTAATCATGTGTAAGATTCACTTTAGCATGCTAAAAGGGACTTAATGTCTCATCAAGGACAAACATCCTAGGATCATTTTTAATAAGTCCACACCCTAAGCCCTTTATCAGTTCCCAAAAATCCTCAACTGCCTATAAATCCCCTAGACAATGCACCACCCCAGTCCCCTCCTGGAGTAAGCCAGGAGCCCTGTCCTCTCACTGTATCTCTCAATAAAAGCCCCTCCCTGGCTCTCCTACCTTGGGTGTTTGCTAAGTTCATTCTTCAACTCCGCAAACAAGAACTCCGGCATCACAATCTTATGAAGGTTTCACATGAGCAACATTGTGATTACAACATTCACCCATATTATCAAGTCACCCCCAATATTCCATTGCAGTCCTGTCTGTCAGCACAGTAAGATGCTATAGAGTCACTACTTGTCTTCTCTGTGCTATACTGTCTTCCATGTGAACCACATACATTATGTGTGTTGATCATAATGCCCTTTAATCTCCTTCACCTCCCTCCCTATCTGCCCTCCCCAGTCTCTTCCCTCTGGTAACTGCTAGTTCCTTCTTGGAAGGACTGGTATGTTTTCCATTTCTGCAAATCTCTTTAATATGTGGCTTAAGAGGATACTGTTGTTTTGGTTGAAGTATGTGAAGAAAATCTAGTCTCACTCAGTGGTTAGAAAAGATAAGTGGATTTTAACAGCCTTTTCAGATAATTGTGGATATTCTTCTTTGATACTACAATAAAACTTGACAAGTAGTAGTTTCTTAAATATTAGTTGCAATTGATCTGAAACTATGTCAAAAAACTTTTCATACTCTGTTCCTTAAAATCCCATTGGTCTTTCTTGAACATTGAATGAACCTTTTACTCATGCATGATTTTGAACTCAATTACTTAAAAGGGTTCAGGGAACCTTTATATATACCAAGGTCACATTATTTAAAATTGTTGCCTTGGAATAAATAACACTGTGGTATATAAAAACTGTGGCAGTGAATAAATAAAGCTGGAACAATAGTAGGGAGGAGGATTCTTACCTTAATTTTATATAAATATATAAGTTAAATGGACTGAGGAATTAACTATCCTAAAAATAAAAAGAAATCACAAAAATATTACAAGAAAATAGAGGTGACCAGCATGCTAATAAATGTTTAACACAGCTAGCTCCTCAGAGAAAAAAGATGGATTAGTAGTGCTTGCTAATTCCTACGGTGCAAAAATTCCCACCATGGCCAATTTCAAACTACCCAAGTGATGTCACTAAATGTAAAGTTAGGAAGATACAGGCACCATGAGCTTTTGTGAGCCAGTACAAGCACACCACTGAAGGTGATTTCTGATTTTGGGGGGAAAAGGTTTTCTAAGATAAAGCAATGGTAGAAACCTCCAAGGAATAAGACTAGTAAGTTTGACCATACATAAAATTTTAACACTTTAAATAACCTCTAAGTAACAAAAACAAAATTAAAAGGAAATTAGGGGCCTCTATACTAGATTATATTTTCAGTAACAGCTTGTTTTGAACTAATGCTCTTGCTGATAACAGTTACAGACTCTGAACAAAACATTAAAAAAAACTCTTTGAAAGCACTGGAAAGCAATCAAAAGGTACTGGAGGCAGAAGCCAGAGAAGATGACTCTTGAAAGAAGGAAAGCAGTTCTTTCTCATCCATTCCTGGTCAATTAGGAGAGAAAAACAAGGTTGGTGTCTGAGCTTGGTGGAAGGGAGAAGGCACAGTGGCCCATGGCAGCACCTTAGGGCCAAAGTATTAACAGAAAGGTCAACCCAGTGAGAGGGCTTGAGATATCACAGATTCAATATGAGATATCAGAGTCCAAGCAGGGTAAGAAGGGAGTTCACTTGCAAAGGGGCATCTTCATATGGATTGTAAGAGCCTGAGAGGGCAAGAGACCCAGTGCACAGAGTAAGAACTCACATGGAAGAATAAATGGGCAGCAGTGGAGAATGATTATACACAAAGTATGTGTGTGTGTGTGTGTGTGTGTGTGTGTGTGTGTATTAAGAGTAATAGTAGCCAGGTTTTTAACTTTGAGAGAATAGCATTAAAAATATGGAAAGGGCGGGCGGAGCCAGGATGGTGGCGTGAGGAGAGCAGTGGAAATCTCCCAAAACCACATAGATCTATGAAAATCTAACAAAGAAAACGCTTCCTAAAATAGAGACCAGAGGACACAGGACAACATCCAGACCACATCCACACCTGCAAGAACCCAGCGCCTCGTGAAGGGGGTAAGATACAAGCCCCGGCCCGGCGGGACCCGAGCGCCCCTCCGCCCGGCTCCTGGGGGGTTGAAAGAAACCGGAGCAGTTTTTTTTTTTTTTTT